TACCAACACTTTGCCAACATATTACCAACACTTTGCCAACATATTACCAACACTTTGCCAACATATTACCAACACTTTGCCAACATATTACCAACACTTTGCCAACATATTACCAACACTTTACCAATAGATTACCAACACTTTATCAACAAATTACCAACATTTTGCCAATAGATTACCAACACTTTGCCCACATATTAATGAAGAAATTTTGTAACTGATTAATTGAATATTAGATGCAGTATTGTATTTTATACTTTCTGATAGTTGCAGCTTTAAGGTCATAACTGAATAAGAGTTGATGTGTTATCATGTGTTCTTCCTTTAGTCTAAACAAAAATGTTACGTTCTGACGTCTGACGTAAAAGGTAACACCTTCAAGGGTGTAACCAGGAAGAGATGAACATTATAAGCTGAATTCATTATTATAATAGTGAGAAGTTGTCAGTGTTTTGCAGAGAGTCTGCTCAAAGCAGAGCTCCTGTGTTTGTTTTGATTCAGCCCAAGGTTGTACGTTGTGGCCTGTGCTGCTCAGTGCTGTATGAAACTGATTGGAGTCAGAAGACTGAAGATAAAGTTTTAAGAAAAAAATTCAGCTAAATCCTGTTTATTCTGACATACCATTTTGAACAACATATATTTTTCCAACATGATTAACAATTTTTATCCTTTAAACCTGTTTCTTCTACCTCGCGGTGACAATTTTTGACCATTTTTCTGGTACACACAGCCTGGTGAGGACCCAATGTTCCTTATGGGGACAAAAGCCTGGTCCTCGCTGTGGAAAATACTGTTGATGTCAGGAGTTAGGGTTAGAGTCAGGTATGTACCTGTGAGGTTAGGTTTACAGTCAGCATTATAGGCTGTGGGAAGGACCGGTAAATGAATGGAAGTCAATGGAAAGTCCTCATGTGTATAGAAGAGCAAACGTGTGTCAGTCTGTTGGTGTGTGTGTGTTGGATTGTGTGTCAGTGTGTCAGTGTGTGTAGATGTGTGTGTCATTGTGTGAGGCTGAACTGCTGAGCAGATCAGATCCTAATCTGAAGCTGGAGGAGCTCCATCTGAGAGCAGAACATTTGCATAATATGATTTAGGATTAGGAGTGAGGAGAGTTTAAAGCTGTGATGATGATTTCAGCCTCTCAGCTCCTCTCTGTGTTCTGCTTCTGATAGAATGATGGGGGTCTGACGGGGTCTGATAAACCTGTGGATGGCTTTTTGATGATTGGAGATTAATACAGTGGGTTGTGAGATTACAGCTCTCTCTTTGTGCCTCTGAACTCTTTAAGTGACGTCGAGGAGCAGAAATAAGAACTGGTCACTGAGGCTAAACTCTAAAGAGAAAAATACCAAACAACATATCTGCACCTCCTCACAGAGCTCTGAACCATGTCTCTAAAGACATTTGTTCACTTTTTGCTTTTTCTTTCTGCTGAGATAAGAAAACCAGGAGGTGCCTTCAAAGTGGATGGATGGATGGATGATGGATGATGGATGGATGGATGGATGGATGGACAGATGGATGGATGGATGGATGGATGATGGATGGACGGATGGATGATGGATGAATGGATGGATGGACGGATGGATGGATGGATGGATGGATGGATGCATGATGGATGGATGGATGCATAGATGATGGATGGACGGATGGATGATGGATGAATGGATGGATGGACGGATGGATGGATGGACAGATGGATGGATGGATGGATGGATGCATGATGGATGGATGGATAGATGATGGATGGACGGATGGATGATGGATGAATGGATGGATGGACGGATGGATGGATGGACAGATGGATGGATGGATGGATGGATGGATGATGGATGGACAGATGGATGATGGATGAATGTATGGATGGACGGATGGATGGATGCATGATGGATGGATGGATAGATGATGGATGGACGGATGGATGATGGATGAATGGATGGATGGACGGATGGATGGATGGACAGATGGATGGATGGATGGATGGATGGATGATGGATGGACAGATGGATGATGGATGAATGTATGGATGGACGGATGGATGGATGCATGATGGATGGATGGATAGATGGATGGACGCATGATGGATGGATGGATGGATGATGGATGGATGGATGGATGGATGGATGAATGGATGGATGGATGGATGGATGGACAGATGGATGGATGATGGTGGATGGACGGATGGATGGATGTATGTATGGATGAATAGATGGATGATGGATAGATGAAGGATGGATGGTTGGATGGATGGATGGATGGATGGATGGATGGACAGATGATGGATGGATGGATGGATGGATGGTTGGATGGATGGATGGATGGACAGATGATGGATGGATGGATGGATGGATGG